GCCTTGATCTTTACCTAGACGGCCATTGCCTATTATATACGAATGTTAGACTGACATAATTCTATGAGCCGTTTACCGAAAGTATCGAGGACGTGATCTTTTGATACACGTGGCGGAATGAAAACAGATGACAACTGGTCATCATTATCAATATATCTGTCGAAATCGAGATAATCAACTTCGTTTGAAATTTTACTGTTTAAGTCCCCTAATAAGAAACATTTCCCCATTGATGAGTATTTTTCAAACCCTGTCTCTATTTCTTCCAAAAAAATCAAAATTATCTGTATTATAACAAGCTTTGAGGTAATTGGTGGTATATAAGCAAGACAAATGTATACATCTTCCTTAAAATCAAATAAACATTTAGATAGTTTAAGCCATAACATTCCATTTTGTATTCTTTCATTAATTTCTATATGTTTACTAAGATTTTGTCGATAGTATATTGATAGACCACCGCTATATCGACCTTTCTTCGTGTTAATAGTCTTATTGCCATATAGGTGTTCAATACAAAATCCACTAAAATCTAAGTTTAAATATGTTTGCTTAGAAACCCATGTTTCGGACAAAAGAACTATATCATATTGGTGAATAATTTCTAAAAAGTCTGTATCTGAAAGTTTTCTACATAAACCATTAATGTTCCATGTTAATAATCTGATGTCCGAATTCTCGTTACAATCCTAATCACGTTTGTGCGGTGGTTCACATATCTTGCCATCAACAAAACACTTCACTAATTTCTTGTTAATGAAAAGTTTATTCCCGGATATGCGCGTAGTCTGGTTGTGTTGTTCTGCATCGTCTATCAATGGTTTGAAGGCTTTACGTGCGTCACGATATTCCTGGGGCGATTGAATTCCCACCCCGTGTCCATTGTTTTTTAATAATTGTTTAATGTCAGTTTGTAAGGACTTAAGGCGTACCATTTCTCGTGAGTTATAGTCGTGAAATTTCACCACTATGGGACGAACTTTCCCTCCACTTTTTGGACCTAGTCGATGAGCACGATCGAATATGATGCTTTTGGCATTGTCTATTTTCAATTCAGATTCTAATAGATTCTTTACAAGCTCGGAGCAGTTTTCATTTATGCCGTGTATGCTTTCTGGAATTCCATAGAATATGAAATTTTCTCTCATAGATCGTGCCTTCAAATCAAGTATGTCATCTTTGAATTTGTTTGCCTCTTGTTGATGTGTTTTAATGCTGGATTCGGCTTCTTTGTACATTTCATTGAGCTCATGCATTTGCTGTTTTATTGTGACATATTCTGTTTTTCGTTCGTCATTCTCATCACTTATAAATTGACAGGACCTTTCTACATCTAATATGTCTTCAGCTTTAACAACTGTATTTCCAGATTTATTGATAATGTATCTAAAAATATAAAAGTTCATTGGACTTATGTTGGTGGAAATAACAATTATATCAATAGTATAGTGGGCAACAATTTTAAATTTAATTTCATGTATATGAGCCATAGTTCCTGCTAAGGCCATAACAAATATATAAACAAAGTAAAATCCAGTACACAACAACAACAACAACAACAACAACAACAATAACAACAACAATAACAACAACAACAAAAATAATAATAATAATAATAATTATAATAATAATAAAACATTATGAAATCAAAATCTACCATTTTAAGATTAAATATATTCAGTAGTTGGCCATTGTGTAATGTATATCCCAGAGTTATGAATATACATAAAGGTCGATATTCATATGAATTCACTTGCCGAGATTCGGCGTTGACAACTTACCGTATAAATATTTGACACAACTAACAAATAACCTTTATTACATACATGCCAGAGCGTGTTGTGTCATCTTATCTTATATATTTAATCAAATCGTAAATCCTTAGCGGATAAATATCTACCACTAAACCACAAATATCCGTACCATCATTATGTTAGGTTAGTATTGATATAGACAAATGAGAAAAACTGCGCAGTTTTTGGAAACAACCGAAGACGAAATATTTTTGTTATATCTGCATTTTACATCTGAAAGGTCATAACAATGGTTCAACATTGCTCGACTTTGCTTACATCTTCCTGGTTGTGCTGATATTAGAATGGAAAATTAGGCTTGAATTTATTGTTCCGGGTTGATCAGCTGTTAAAACATGCTTTGCCCCCGTGAAAAGATTATTTCACAGTATATACTTATTTGAGAAAACGTGAAGGAAATCTATACAGAAAATACCCACACCGAATGCACTAGTCATACAGAAAGAAATGGTTTTCGTACTCTGATTGAGACTGTCAAGTTTAAATAGGAAATCAGAATATAAATCTAAATTAAGCCGATTACCTCTATACTAAATCTCTTATATTACCAAGCCAAGTAGGTTCCATAAAAAAACTTTACCAGGAATAAATTTAATAAGGATATATTTAATACATAAATCCCAATAGGTAGGCAACAGCAACAGATGACAATACGTATCCAATCTCTTGCTTACCAGCTTGGATTCATTTGTCTCTTTAGTCGGTCCAATGCATATGTTTGATTACATTCAAAATCACGTCAATATTATCGGTTTCAGTTGTGGAAATAAGTTTATTACATACATCAGAGTAAAACCTATATATTTTAATAGACGTACGTAAAAATAGTAGAATGTCTGGATTTCCTATAAATATTTCTATCTTCGAAAGTGGGCAAGACAGTAATTCTTCTGATTCCTAAGCCCAAAACGTTTTTTCTATAATTTATCATAATGTATCAATTATTAATTATTTTTTGTACTTCTGAATTGTCTAGGGATATAATTAAAGGCAAATCATTCCTTAAACTTAAAAAAATCTTACTACTGATCAAATAAAAGTAGCACGCTGTTTCATTAAAACAAAAACAGAAAAAAGGAAACAATGAATAGAATTTACTGAAGGCTGCAAATGTTAGTCTAGTCAAGTTAAATTTTAATGCGTAATTTCTTTTATAATTTGACAATTCAGGAAAGAATGTTGACACATTAGTCAGTAATATGAAAATTCAGGAAACCCCAACATAAAATAAAAACATGAACACAAATAAATAATAAATGAATAAATAATTAAATAAAATTAAAATAAATAAATAAATAAATGATTTTATTGACCTTTTTACAGTACGATTTTTCGTAGCCACGGATGTTGCATTTCGCGCATGCGCATTCTGCGTAGGGCAAAAGCGCAATAATGAACTTCTTATTATAGCATGATTAAAGGCTCGAAAAAAAAACGTGATTTCAAGTTATTTCACCCAGAAAAGAGAAAATTTTGGGATGAATTAAAGTGGTACGTACTTAAAACATGAACTGATATTTATAACAGATATACAAAATTAGCGGTACTAATAATTCAATAACCAAAAGTTCTCTGTTTAAGGTATCATTAGATTACTTTTTCAGTAGTAATTTAAATTGAAACAGTAGGGTGTTAAAGATTAAATTTTATTACCCATGTATTACATAATATTACACAATTGGGATTCCTTTGAAAATGGATTGGCAAGGCGGTTATTAAGTGTCAAACAGATTGACACGTGACCGGTTGTTATTTGCCTGCTAGTTTACAATATCATTCAACCGGGACGTTTTGATACCGGCATGTCATAGTAGTTCACGTAAAATTATGAAAATTGTAATTTAAGCAACTTTTATTTATACCAATCTCATCAATTCATTAATCAGATCATTAATTTTGTGTGACAAAAGATGTGACGTGCATTTATATGTTTTAGAAGGAATCGGGTGAAATGTGTGTTATATCACTGGCAATCTTAACTTCTCAAGATTTTGAAAAAGAATATTTAAATATATTTTTGATAAGAAAATTCTGTTTGGCAGCAAAGTCAAATAGGATAAAGGATACAATTATAACTGAACACTAAAAATGCATTATTACCTGTTCCGACTTTTTCGTAGAATGATAATTAACCTCGATTTTATATGTTATAAAATTTCTTTCGGTTTTACGTATATGAAAGAACAAAAAAAAACTTTTTTATTTACTAACATAAATTGTTCCTCCTATAAGGAAGTGCATTTGCAGCAGTATTTGCTGATTCATACTTTTTGCCCTGAAGGCCCTGAAGGTCATCCGGACCATGCAATACACGTATTACACAGCGGCTTGTGTATAAATACCGTGACAGAGCGCACTTTTAAAGTATGTTTTGTAATTTAAAATCAATATTTTTATTGTGTTGTAGTCTTCCTTTTAATGAAATTGAAATGCACATAGAATAATATACTTTTTACAGGTTTTACGAATATTTTGTACATAGATATGAAGAACTATATAATTTAAGAAAATTCATAAAGTGAAATAGTGCAATTATTTTGATACCTACGTGATGTTACTAATCTCTCATATTTAGCTCTGAATGAACGCTTGATGTTAATATGTTATTCAATAATTGAGTGTGCAATACGGGAATGTGCTGAAAGATACGTCATGCGAGTCTTATATCATTCCTCAAGCTGTGTATAGACTTTTTTACGACACGCCGGTCCGTTGCTATGAAAAATCGATCGGAAGTAGTATTTCCCCGCACATGCGCAATCTGCGTAGGGCAAAAAAGCATAGTCTAACATAGAAATATAGAAGAATTTCATATACAATTCCGAGTTAGTTTAAGGTAAAAGGTAAAAAATTATATAAAATAGCTTTAAACAAAAATAGAAAAGATTACTTTATAGCTTTGTTGCCAAGATTGCCATAAAAATGATGGAAAAGGAAATTGTTTAAGAATTCCCCCCTTAGATACGGTAGGCCCGCTTACGGTCACGGACCTGACATTGAGATTTTTTTAAAGAAAATGTGGACTAATATCTTTTATTCAAATGGGAGTCAACTAAATTGTTGTTGAAATAGTTAATAAAAAAGATGAAAGAAATTTTATAACATATGAAATCGAGCTTAATTAGCATTCTGAAAATAGTCAGAACAGGCCCGGTGATAATGCATGTTTAGTGTTCAGTTTACCTGATTTTATCCTTCATTTGACTGTAAGCACATATTAACCTCTAAATATGTGCTTGTTATTTTCACAGGAAATTGCAAAGTGTGTCATTGTGGCTTTTGCCTTTTTGATTTTGGGATCAAATGCCGTACCTGAGGTAGGTTCATTGAATATTGAATATTTAGTTGTGTTTACATGGTGCTTCCCTTGTTTACATCATTATTCTCCTCGCTTAAATTTGAAGAAAATCATGTTTTGTTCTCCTTATTTTGAACTTTGAATGTATGCTAAATTTAATTATACAACGTCCATAAAAGCGTTTACAGACTTATATATATAAAAAAAGACTTTTTCAGCGATCCGTTAAATACGCCTTATTTCAATATAAGATTGTAGCCTCTTACAAACAACTTATTTTATGGGAAACGAGCTTTCTATCAACACTTTGTTCTGAGGTAGCACCTTTAACGTTTATCAACAGGACCCTCTATGACCGAGTAGTCCAATTCGACGACTTGGGATCACTTGCCAGCGCTATAAGCTCGAATCCTATTACGTACTTTGGATTATTCATGTGTGGAAGCTATCCAGCTATCTTAAGTGAAAGAAAAAAATTGATATTGTAACATACAATAAGATTTTGTTTCATTCAGTCGGGCCATATCATTCCGAAGCATTTATGTTAGTATTTTTTAAATATTGAAATGATGTGTCAATGAATTTGTTTAATTAGTACCGGAGGATTGTAGCCCATTATGGAGATACAGTGACAGCATACGAAGATGTGATGATTGACAAAGAAGCAGAGCTAATCGTTTCAACCGACGCCAAGGTTTCATCCAAGAAATTCACGCCATCAATGTCATTCCATGACTTTTCTGCGGTATATTAACATTGTTTACTTTGAAAATGTTTGATAAAATGTACCAGAATGCTTTAACACATTTTGAAGCGTATGCACAAATTAACAAAGGCAATTCAGTTTATTCAAACTATATGTCTTTTCTCGAGAGTTACTTTGAATAAACAGCAGAACTTATTTTAGTTGTTTAATATATCAATAAATAATCATTGGTCACTAGAGTTGATCTTAATTATTGAAATTACTTCTAGTGATAACTGAATAGTGGTTCTCCTTCATTGATGATTGAATATTGGTTAATCATGTACAACCACTCAAAAGATATCTTTAATGAATTTAGTATGTGTTTTATTGTCCAAACTTTATTCTTTTCCGTTGCAAAATTCCTTCACAAAATTTTACGTAATTATTTATACCCGTTTGTGTTTAAATTGCAGGGATATACTGTCAATAAACTTGTTGAGAAGGGAGTTTGTTACATATCGAAAAATACACACTCTATTGAAACTTTGATAGAGGCCCTCAACCAAGCAGAAAGAGTACAATAAAATTTCAAAATGTTCTTTATGAATATAATCGAAATTTTCCAAATGTTATGGAATTATGATTAAAAAGTTTAAGCAGTAATAAGTAAAAAAATTACATATTTATAATTGACCATAAGGTGATTAAAATGGCAAATTACAATGACAATATGTGACTTTATATACAAATAATATAACTGCTAATTGTAGATTGATACTATGACAATTTTAGATTGTTTCTATATAAATGTTCTTCCAACTTATATACTAAGCAAATGATTTAATAATACGAAATATACCTGCATAGAAATCATAAAACTCATTTATGATATAATTTCAGGACAATGGTGACTTTGAAATCAGACAGATACTCAAGTGTACATCAAAGACATTTGTCGAACAGTCGGAGATGCTAAAGTACGGAGAGAGGATAGCTGCCTTCTGTAAAGATTACGAGTCGGTGTTTGTTGTAAGAGACAAAATGTGCAGTAAGAGAGAAACTTGGGCCTTTGAAGAGAACGCCAGTAAGTTTTTCATATTTTTATCAGGTTTGTTGCTAATTTGCCACAAGAAATGAACTTTTGTGTACATAAATGATCTATATCACAGATGATTTTTATTTCAATGTAGCATATAAAGTTTGTCTTACAGATGAAACATCATGATATATGTCGCCAATTCAAATGCAAAGTTAAAACGTTAAGGAACGCCGGCATATTCAGAACTATGCATGTACGTGATCGTACAAATGTATAAAGACTTAAATATATTTCTATGAGTATCATGAAAATAAATAGTAATGTTAAATTAAATGGATTGAGTAAGATTTATCTAGTGGTGTTTGAAATATCTTTAACAGTTAACGCCGTTTTGTTAAAGGCACAATTACAATGTCTGAATGAATTGTTATTCATTTTTCTTTTACAGTTGCATGTGTCTTTTGCATTGCATTTTGTTACTAAATCGCAGTTGTTGGAGAAAAACACACATTTATATATGTAAAGATAAAACAAAGTGTTTTGATAATGACAATCATCATCAGCAGTTGTAACATTTATGAATGTACTATATAAAGCCTTTCAATGATTATTTTCCTTTGTCTTGTTTTAGGGTCAAATCATCTTTTACTGCTCAAAATATAACAAACTTTGTAGATGTTTATACATCTTAATACATCTATTTTTTCGACTTAAAACATTGTAGACAAATATTTCCACTCTATGTTAATTCAATACAGAACAAAATACAGAATATATAAAATACAAAATATGTTTTAGATAGTTTATATAAGCTTGAACACGGAATGATTTCTTTATGTTTACATGTATTGAATATGTAGTCCAATAAACATAACACGACTTCTTTGAATGTTGTCTTATTGTCTATTCTTACACAATAGAAGAAACAGACTCCCTAAAGAACGCCAAAAACGGTAAAATTGAAAATGTTGCAGATGGGCTGTTTACGGACGGTAATGAAAAGTGAAATTTACCGTCCACGATACCCCCCCCCCCCTCCCTAGCAACGGCAAAAGCAGAAATGGTGAATTTTGATTAAGAAACATCTATACGGCGATTATCTTGGAACGTTCAATGAAACACTTCTGTTCCATTCCATGAAAAGCGGCGTATGATCTACAAGTAAAAGGATCCGTTTGCAAGAAAATAGAATTTTAAAAGGTGATCAGCTTCTTAATTATTGTATATAAAAAGATTAATCTCGTAGGATCAATAGAAATTCTATCTGAAACAATCCATGCTACGGTATGATATCTAAAGTAAACTCGAGTGAGGTGCTTATTGTTTGTCTATATTACATACTCTCCTAAAGCTGACATCACTATAGTTAGATACATGTACTCAAACGTACTACATGTTAACAATAAGAAACTGCAAAGCACTTTTGTGAAGTTATAATTTATTTGCTGAATGTTACTGATCGAAAATTTTAAGTTATAACAAAACCATCACACATTTTAAATATTGAACATGTATTGGTGCTATATAAAGGTTCTGGAATATTAATGCCATACCTGACCGTAAACACATATTTACATTTAACATATTCCGTATAATCTGTTTCAAAAATTATATTTTATGTGAAATTTTGCTTTTAACCTCGCCTGCAGTGCTCATTGGTCAGCTTTTTAGTTCGTTTGTTGTCCATTCATCTAACGTCCGCTTGTCCGCCCGATGGTTGTTCACGATGTTTTGAATGGCTTCTTCTCTGTAAACGTTTCGCAAAATCTGATAAAAACTTCATTTGAAATTTCTTGCATTTTTTTTTATCAAAGTTGTTAAAATTCTCCGATTTATAACATATATTATTAGGTCACAGAAGCTAACAAATCTATTTTAAAATAGCAAATCTTTGTCTCTGGAGGCACATGTGAATCTGTGAGGTTACAATACCTATATATCACCCCTGTTTCTCATCGGTTCAGGGGCTATGATAAAAAATCATCTATTTAACTTTCTCATAATTTAAAGATTACCAATTCGTCCCCCAACACTTCTTTTATTACAAATTGATACACATGATATCACATTATCTAAAATTATATCATATTAAATCTGATTGTCATTCTTAAAGGAGCTTTATCGATTTAAAAAGCATAGAAACATAAAATCTGAATATTTTACATAATTAACCCAAGTCAAGCACTAACAATCCAAATATTCGCATAGGACAAAACAGAAACATACTCAGATTTAAATTGAGAATAAGTACAATTTCTAACCCTATTTGAGTAAAAAAGCGTTTTGAATCGGTTTTCATTGTTTGGTCTTTTTGCACAATAAAAATGAAACCGGATGAGGAGCTGATCTGAAAATTGCACACAAGTTATTGGTTCAGACATAAAGTGTATACAAATATATATAAAAATACATAAAGTGTATACAGATATATATAAATAATACATAAAGTGTATACAAATATATATAAAAAATACATAAAGTGTATACAAATATATATAAATAATACATAAAGTGTATACAAATATATATAAATAATACATAACGTGTATACAAATATATATAAATAATACATAAAGTGTATACAAATATATATAAATAATACATAAAGTGTAAACAAATCACAGAAGACCTCAGAGGAGTCCCTATTTACCCAGATAATGAATTAATGTTAAAAGATACACTAGCATTGCTTTCATATCTTGAATTTACTTGTTAGATTGATTTGTTTCAACTTCAACTTGCAACAGTGTACAATAAATAAAATTATTACAAATTACAATAATTCACATAACACAAAAGAATTGAAAAAACAAAATACACAAAACAAAGTATTATAACTCCCTTGAGTTACTTCAAGGACATAGAGCATTTGCATTTTAATAGCCTACTCTCATGAACACATTGCTTATAACTAAAGCATGCTTACACTTAGGACGGGTGAAAGATTGTTCATTGCATATATAAATCCAACTGTCTTTTGTTCCCAGATTATCGACAAACCTATACGGTACCTCACCTTTGATTTTATTCTTGACCATAGACTTACATGTGTTCAAGATTTAAAATATTAAACCATCTACAGTCTAATTTGTATGGACAATTAAACGAATGTTATAAGCACCATTTTCATTTTCAAATGGACTGCTTATACTGTTCACCAACATATCATGATATGATGCGAGATGATTTGTGTGGAATGAAAGAAAACAAGATAACTGAGATTAGATCTTAGACTTGTTTTGCGTTGTCATAACAAAATGTAACATCTTCTTCGCCTCTGGCTCATGTTAACGCAGTCTTAACTCGCCAATACCAAAAGCATTGGAAACAATGGCAAAATATACAGAAAGAAGTACAAACGTCTTTTAAAACTACCAAACAACTCTTTATACCTACTGATAATGTTATAACTAAATTCACTAATACCTTGAATTGACAGATGACCAGAATTTAGAGCGTTAAAGCGTGATTGTTTTCTCATTGCAAAAAAAGTAAAAACACACACACAAACAACACAAGGAAACTAATAAGAAAATAACGGTGATTAACTGTCAGATTACGTTGATGATACTTACGACAAATAGAAACAAACTAGATCGTAAATACGATTAAGCACAATCAAGTTGTGTATCTATAAAACATACCTAAAGTACAGTACAAAATGTACATGTATACGAGGTGTTTCCTACATGCATGATTGGCCCCCTAGTGATATTTGCAAGAATTATTATTCTTAGAATGTTGAATCTGATAGCTTCAACAGACAATATTAAAATGGTGTCCATGATGGTCGCCAAATATCTTAAAATTATCATTTAATTCAAAAGTATTCAATTAAATGCGCTCAAAAACTGCGCATTTTTTTTTCGAATTTTGTATTTAACTCTAGGACAAAATGTTAGTATTAGTATCTATTAGCAGTATTAAACAAGAAGTGAATATATCAATAAATCTTAATACATTAATGGATTAGATTCAGCATGATTTTGGCTATTTTTGCTATTCTTTTTTAAAGCATGACATACAATAAAGGTATAACAAACACAGTAAAAAAAAACATTACAAAAGAGGAAATGTGTTTATCCCATTTAACAATTTGAACATCCAAATGAACCCGTTTTAAAACTGATTGACTTAAGTTTTTTTTTTGTTTTTTTTTTCACTTGAAAATGATATTCCCGTTCATGTTCATCTGTATTGTACTGTTTTGAAATTCGTATTGTTATTAAATTTAAACGTGAAAAAAGATATCCAAACGTCCTTGTCCTAACATAAAGTTTCGTTACCCTTTGTCTGGATTTTTATGATATTTTTTGTCTGACAGCAATAGGTTTAAAGTCGATTAGAATAACAGCCCATCAAATAGAAAAAAGTCACAAGTTACAATTTGGTACATTTACGGAAAAGAACTTTATAAGACATGATAAAGTAATATACTTAGTTGCTAAATAAAGTGTGCCCATGTTAGATTGAAAATTTTGTTAACATACGAAAGAAATCGTAGCGATGCTTGTTTATTTTTTTAAATGTTCTATAAACGATATGAAAGAACGTTGCCGTCATTTTCATATTTTAAAGAAGCGCGCCAAAATAAGGCCAATTTTTAAGTATTTTTAAATGGTAAATATTACCTTTTTTAAGCTGCGGCGTTCGTACGGCATAGGGTTGCTATGGCGATACATATAATCAACAAAATGAGATTTTTTTTGAAATCACAATATATATCTAATAGTATTAAATTGATCTCCTGATTAGCAAAAATTCTTTATAATATCTTGATTAATTATTAAATTATTAATAGCGTCCATGAATTATTGATCAACCCTCGTACATGGGCAAATAGTAGCAAAAGTGGTATCACAGTTTACAGAAATATATTCGCTATACAATGTTTTATTTGTAATGTAATAAAATACCATGAGTTGATCATATCTCTGTGACTGTACCATATAAATAAGCACTATATTTTAATAGACAAATTTAGCAATTTGTTAAAAGTAGACAGGCCTTGTAAAATGTTGTACATTAATAACATTCCGTACATTACTGTATCAAAATATTAAGGATCAATTAGAAAAAAATATATTAACGTAACACGACCACTTTACCCGCAAAAATAGCAAAGGAAGTGACGTGTACCATTAAAATTAAATGTTTGGTATGTTTATTTTTAAAACACAGACGTACTTATTTCTATCTTTAAATTTTAAACACTATGTGAAAGGACGGGCCATGGTATGACTGTTAAAATGCTCAATTTAACTTTTGGTGTATTATCTTACATTGTCTTATTTTTTAAATTATTTTTGTATTAAGTCGTATATTGTCTCAACAGAAACTATTGCTCTTAAAACAAGACAAAAAAGATGATTATTACATAACAAAACATGTTTTAAAAATCATTGTAACTTCAAAGCACATGCAAGACGGTCATTACAAAACATTTTGTCAGTTTACCTATCGTGATCACCAACTTTGAATATCAATTCGGAATGGTACGCCATGATACGTTCAGATAAAATCATGTCTTCTTCTTGTTTATTGTATAAATTTAGTATTCTTGTTCATTCTCTAGATAGGAGATTAAGAAGAAAGAAAGGTTAAAGCC